TTTGAATGATTCCCACTTGCATTGGTGAAGCTGATTCTTTACTCAAACTACCAATTCAAATGCAAACATTTATTAGATATACATTTATTTACCTACTCAGAAATATTGTTCTACATGATAGCTTGGCATTCCTTAGTTATATCAAATTGCCATATAAATTAACCATCACAATGTTACAGTCTTGAGTCTGTAATCTATAGGGCAGGCCAACAGACTGAAAACTCAGGCAAGTTTTCTATTACTGTCTTAAGGCAGAATTCCTTCTTTTTTAAGAAACTTCAATTTTTGTTCTAAAGGCCATATACTAGTTGGATGAGGCTCACCCATATTATAGATGCCAATCTCTTTTAAGTTAACTAATTTTAAATGTTAATCACATCTACACAATCCTTTTGCAGTAACAGCTAGACTAGTGTTTGACCAAACACCTGAGCAAAATAGCTTATCCAAGTTGGCAGATAAAATAAACCATCTCAATTATATTTAAAAAAGAAGAAATATATTACATCTGTATCCTAACCTTCCAACTTATCACAGTGGAAAAAGAAGAACAAACTAAATCAAGATGAAAGAATGAAACAATAAATAGTGCAGAAATGATTGAAATAGAGAATAGAAAATAAAGAAATCAATGAAACAAAAGCTGGTTCTTTTAAAAAAATTAAAAATGTAGACAGCAAGTTACTACCAACCTTATAGAAAAATGGTATGCTGTAGAATAGGTAAACAAAATGTGTTATATCCAAACAATGGAAGAACCTTGATGCCAATATGCTAAATTATGAAGCTAGACACAAAAAGGCCACATAGTATGATTCCATTTATATTTAAAAGGCAGTGGAGATAAATCTATAGAGACAGAAAATATACATTAATGGGATTTAGGGCTCAGGGGACATTCTAAAGAGGGTGATAGCTAAAGGGTACAGGGTTTATTTTTGAGATGGACAAAATGTTATAAACTTGAGTTTTGTGATGTTTGTAATAGTGAATATACTGAAAATTATGGAAATTCACACTATAAATGTCTGAATATGTTATATATGGACTTTATCTCAACAAAGCTGCTAAAAAGGAGGGAGTGAAAAGTGAAGAAATAGTGTTATGAGCACCTCTGGAACTGAATATTGGGTATTCTTACTCCAACCTGAATCTGTGTCTGGTGCTTAGTTTCTCCCATTAGCAAAAATTATATAATATAAAAATAATTGTTATATATATATATATATATAATTTGTCATCTCACGAAAAGCACCTCAACTGAGCATAGAAGCTAGTTTTTTTTAGATAAGCCCATAGCTAGGATTACTCACTTGGTTCTAAGGCTAGGATTTTGCTCAGGTTCACAGAGTTATGAAAGCTGTCCATAGCTATGTTTTGCATTCCTCTGTTTCATGTCTCACTATGCTAGGAGTGCTGGTATCTCGGAGACCCCACCCCTTCAAATCCCTCTGATGCTCTCTGAGGATAATTGTTGCCTTGCCTAGATTGTTACATAGGGATAATCATCACTGAAATGGCCTCAGCAGGGCTCCCTTAAAGGGGACAACATTCATGGGTTGAAGATAGGGTGTTATGTGAGATTGGGGACAGCCTGCTAGCTCCACCTGAGTAACAACCTGAGAACTTTGGAATCCTGTGGCTTTAGAACTTCCAGAGGTGCCTATTACCTCACACAGTGGCCAAGTGTTCTTTATTTTGGTAAAGTCCAGAAGAACATTCTACAGTCATGTTTAACCCATACATATTAGATATTCCAGTCATAATTTTTGACAATGGATCGGGACTCTGCAAAGCAGGCCTCTCTGGAGAGACTGTACCCCATCATGTCATCAATTCTGTTGTGGGGCATCCTCAATTTAATGTGTCTTTATCAGAACCCTATCAGAAACAGTACTTTGTGGGAGGGAAAGCCTTGTACATGTATGAGGACTTGCATTTGCACTACCCCATTGAGCGTGAACTGGTGACGGAATGGGATGACATGGAGAAACTCTGGAAGTATCTTTTTGAGTGGAAGCTGGGAGTAAAATCCTATCAACAGCCTGTACTCATGACAGAGCCCTATTTGAACCCAAGAGAGACTTGAGAGAAGATGGCAGAAGTAATGTTTAAGACCTTTAGTGTGCCTGCCTTTTACTTGTCCAACCATGCAGTGGTAGCACTCTATGCCTCTGCCTCTGTCACGGGACTTGTGATGGACAGTGGGGAAGGGGTAACTTGCACTGTCCCTATCTTTGAGGGTTACCCCCTGCCTCATGCTGTCACCAAGCTGTATGTGGCAGGCAGGGACATCACAGAGCGCCTCACCCAGCTGCTCCTTTCTAGTGGGAGAAACTTCCCTTGCACACTCAAGAAGGCCTTAGTGAATGGCATCAAAAAGAAGCTGTGCTATGTGGCCTTGGAGCCAAAAAAAGAGCTACATATGAGGCCACAGGAGGTCTTGAGATAATATAAATTGCCAGATGGGAATGTCATCTATATTGGTGACCTGCTGTGTCAGGTGCCTGAAATTCTTTTTGCACCTGACCAGCTGGGCATCCACAGCCCAGGACTCTCAGAAATGGTCACCAACAGCATTATGAAGTGTGACACAGATATCCAGAAGAATCTATTTGCAGAAATTGTACTGTCTGGGTGCACCACTCTCTTCCCTGGGCTTGAGGAAAGACTTATGAAAGAACTGGAACAACTGGCTTCCAGAGTAACTCCCATCAAGATCACAGCTTCTCCTGATAGGTGTTTCTCTGCATGGATAGGTGCTTCCATCGTGACCTTCCTGAGCAGTTTCAAGCAGATGTGGATCACATCTTCAGATTTCATGGAGTTTGGGACATATGTTTTTCAGAGAAGATGCTTTTAAAGAATCCAAAGCAAGAAGGACAGCTCGGAGTGTCAGATCACAGGAGTTCTGCTTGAAGGTGAAATCTTCCCATGGTGTTCAATAAAAGTGATAATGATATTTTGGGTTTCAGTCCATTTTTTTAGCATAATAATAATTTCTGATCCAGGTAGTGAATCTTTTTAAGTGGTTCTATTCCAACCTTCCTGTCCCATGGAACTTTTCAATAGTTTTCTCCTGAGAAATACTTGGGTTATGTGTTGAGGCTGTATCCACTTGTAGGATTTATAGTAAAAAGAGGTGTCCAGTGTTTGACTCATTAGAGTCCCTGGAATCCTCATCTTAATCAGGTGTCTTAGATATTATTAATAGATCTAGTGCTGAGGAGAGACAGAGTCACCAGGCACTTTGTGGAGAGGGGAGGGAAGTGGAATTAAGTAGAAGGAATGTTACCCTGCTTTTAGGGCTCAACAGACCAGACCCTTTCACTTAATTGGAACAATAGGGAACAACAGGGCATGCTATTGTTATAAGACAGCTAAATAGGATGGAGATGTTGTCCTTTGCAAAGAGGAGAGATGTGCACAATAATCACTATTTCTTTAAGGCTCTTTAAACTCAGGGTCCTTATTCCCAGTTGGAGTATTAAGAATTAACCTATATAATTTTACTAATAATTCTCACCCCAATAAGTTTAACAAAAAATAAAATAAAAACAAGTAGAGAATCAACATGTCTACTTATTTATTTTTTACTTTAAAGAATGTTTGCAGCCTCATTTTGAAAGGGATAAATTATTTAATGGTCATCAACAAAGACATTGTTGAATAAATTATGAACACATTAATTTATCCATATTAATTTAGTGTTGTTTTCCGAAAATATTTTTAGGTGAGAAATGGAAGATTCAGAGCAATTTTTTGTAGTACAACCATTTTTTCTTCTTTTAAACGAGCAGTGGTGCTTTCCCAAATATATGTATATCTGAACATTTGTATGTACATATGTAAATGAATACTTTCATATGATTATAAGCAGTTAGAGAAAAGTACACAAAGATACAAGCCATGGGATTTACACAAGTTAGTGGAGAATAATTCAATGAGAGGTTATACAGGTAGAAATAAGAGTCTTTGGAAGGGGAACAAATAAAAAAGATGGTCATATTATGAATAACTTTACACTTAATTCAACAAATTTAAATTTATCTAAACTATATTTTAAAATAAATATCCCTACTTAGTATAAAAATTTTAAAAATATTTTAAAATCTTGACATAAAGTAAGCATTAAATCTAGATTTTTGTGCAGGTGAGTTTTATCAGTCATTAAAAATTCAATTTATATGCATATTCTTTAACACTATAGAAAAAAGAGGATCATCTAATACATTTTATGAGTGCAATATAACTTTCAAATCATTACCAATCATAGGCAATATATAAAAAAATAAGATCAATCTCATTGTTTATGGAATTTTATCTCATGTTTGCACAGCTAAGTATTTGTTTACAAAAATAAAGGGGTATGTAAGGCAGATTTCCAAAGATCAAAATATGCCTGTCTCCATCCTTTCCAATACCCTGTTACATAAATCCCACTGCATCAAGCCCCTTGTACACCAATAAATTTATCCTTAATCAGTGAGGTTGTCATGTTTTATTAAGATTCCCTCTCATTGCTTCATAGTCTGAAAAATGCCCCAAGGCAAAAAACAAGGAGATTACCCTTTTTGTTTCTTTTCACTCAGTGATCACAGTCTTTAATTGCCTATTTCCAATGTCCAAGAACTTTTTTTCCTACATATTTTGCCTAGTTTCTAAGGTTTCTATGGTGTGACCCCATTGCAGGTACCAGTAACACTAATATGATGGAGCTACAGATTATGCATGCATGCATTATTTTTAAAGAAAATATTGATAAAAAGTTATATACCACAAAATATTAAATGGATTAGCTTGACATACATGATGGCTCTAGGGCTTCAAATACATACATATATCTATAGCTATATCTATATCTATCTATATATCTATATAGTGAGAGATAGAGAGAGAGAGGAAATCATGATCGGATAAATTAAATAGGAATGGTAGCATGGAGATAAACAAGAGCATAACCGTTTTTTAAAAAGACATCTGACAATCCTTTTTCATGCATTTAATTGTTCTGATGATTTCTTGTGTGACATGAGATAATGTTTAGCATCCACATATATGGTGAATTAAGAATGGAGACCTTTGAATAAAGCCACAAATTCTTAAGTGTTACACTCACAATAAAAATACTAAAATAGGAAAATGTAAGCCTAAAAAAAGCAAGGAAAATCATCTAATTACACCACTATCCTGAGTGGAATGAAAAAAATTATCCCTTAAAGCACAAGCAATTTCTCACAAATGTTTTAATATGAGATCATATCATCTGCGCGGTCCAAGAAACACAAGACAGGAATTGAAACTTTTCCTGGTTTAACACCTGGCAGAAACAACTACTGATGATCAATTTCTGATTAAATGCATGCTCAAGTATTTGTACAGGTAAAATACCACTGTACCCGGTATTACACTACCCCCTCACATACAAACACATAAATCATAAAACATATAAATAAATAAGGCACCATGAATGAGAGTTGTATATTAAAAAAAGACACGTTCTATAGAGATGCTGATATTGGAATTTTTTCAACCAGATTTTGTAATAGTAAAGCTGGAAAAATTAGATAGAAGTCATTTTAGAAATACCACACATCAGCAACATGAAAGATGAGTTGAATAATAGAATAACAATATTATAATTGTTATTAGGATGATAAAAATATAATCAGAGTTCCAGAGGAAATAAACAGAAAATAAGGGACAAACATTTTTTGAACAGATAAAGACTTAGAATTTTCCAGAATTCATGAAAGATGCTCATCTTGAGATTCAGTAAACCAATAAGTCCTAAGCAGGGAAAATATTTTGAAAAACTTCTTTTGGCACATTTGAGGAAAAAAAACATATAGAAAATAAGAATAAAAATAAACTAAAACAGTTTCTACAGAATGGAAGGACGCTGTTGCATAAGAAATAACTATAATATAAAAAATAGTGAGTAACAAAATCTGTAGATAATATAAACAAAGAGTGAATAAACAAAATGATGACAATCAATGTTCAAATTGAGAATTTAAAAATAAAACATAAAAGATAGAGGTCCAGGATATCATATTAGGTAAAAGCTATACCTACTGCATCCCAGGATCACACCAACATTACACATAAATTATAGAACAGTCAACCTCAAGAATCATTTGAAGATTAGCAGAACAGAACTCCTATAACTAAGGATATAAATAAAAGGCCACACCAAGATTGGTAGGAAGGGCAAAGATGCGAAACAGGCTGACCCCAAACCCACAGATAGTGGATGAATGCTAGAAGGGACACATTGGTGGCATAGGTCCCCCCTGAAGAGGCAGGGGTCACAGTCCCACACTGAGCTCCCCAGCCCACTGGTCTTGTTCCAAGAAGAGGATTTCACATGGCATCTGGCAGTGAAAATCAGCAAGGACTTTGCCTACCCTTCCCAGGAAGGCAGAAGGCAGCTGGAAACCCAGACATCCTTTCATAGAGCTAGCACACAGACTCACTCACTTGTGGGCACTTATCTGTTCTCTGGTGGAGGGTCAGCATCTCAGGAGGCCCAGGAACATGTGGGTAAGGACTGACTTGTGTGGATGCAGTTCAGGAGTTGAAGGGACAGGAGTCATTTTTCCCTATGTGGAGCCTGACACACATGTGACCTAAAAGAGGACGCCATTTTTCAGTGTTTAAGCCCTCCCCCAAAGGGCCAAGTCTGGGACTGCACTGGTCTGGTGGAATCCTCATGTGAGCACTGCCTTGGTTATGCCCTGGGTCCCTGTCCCCCACAAAGCTGGTGCAACATCCCCTGGAAAACTCTTGACTGCTAAGCTGTTGGCCCCACACCACAGGTGACAGAAGCCTGTTTAAAGTGGGTGGACAGCCTGCAGAGGCCCAGGAAACATTTGCTGGTGGATAGTAGCCTAACACCTGTGCTGCAGTGCTTCTTGGGCAGCTCTCAGGAACCTGCAGGCCAGAAATGGGGGGTGGCAAGCCTGATATGGGTGGTGGCTGGCTGTGTTGCTTGTGGGATATTTTTGCAGTGTGGTCATGGGCCCAGCACTGGTGCTGGAGCCAAGACAGCATTGACTTTGTAGAAACCACTGACCACACACCTTAGCTCCATGGGTCCCTGTCCCACCAACCTAGAGCTGCATTGCCAGTGTCACTTTGGGTGTCTGGGTGACTGGCTCCACTGCACAAGCTGCAGAGGTGTTTTACAGCAGCAGACAATTCGCTACAGCTTGGGGAGATTTTGGTGGTGGACAGTGATCACAAAAATGCCACAACCGCTATGGGGCAACTCTCAGGAATTCTGAGCCTGAGGTGGTAATTGGCTGTGGTGTTCTTGGGATGCTTGCTGTGCAAAGTGGTTAGAGGTCGGGCACTGACATAAGAACTGAATCTGCATTCACTTTGTAAAAACCACTGGTCATATCTCATGACTCCCTTGAACTCCACTTTAACCAGCTAATGCTGCATTGCCAAGGTCACTCTCAACACCTTGTCAACCAGCCTAGCCCGAGCACCTAAGGGGGATGTTTCAATGGTTGGGCCTTATGGGTAGCTGGTGGGTGTCAGTAAGGCCCAGGGGACCATGGGCCTTTTGCTAAGCTGCCTCAGGCCCCTTATTGGTGGCAACCAGCCTTGGTTCACAGTGAGGTCACACACACATGCCTCCAGGTACAACACAGGTAGCAGCCAACCACCTACAGATTTGTGGCTTCTACCAAGTAGTTATGGGCCAGTGACAGGCAAGGTTGAAATTGATCTGCATGGGAGCCCATCCCCAGAAACACCAGAAACAACACATACAGAGATCAGCTTCAGATCATACCAGAGCACTACCTGGTTAACTCCACAAGCAGCACACCCAAAGAGGGGTCTCAAAAG